TAATATCTGCACAGGAAAACAACCACAAAAAAGAATTAAAGGTCAATAGAATGAAATAGTTGATGTCTAAAAAATAATGATAAGTTAAATTCAGAAAATATTCTTATGAACATAAACACCATAATATCCATACCACTTTACTACAAAAAAAGCCACACTTCAATTCGATGCTACAATTAGAAAACCACCCAATAACCTTATGAAGGTACAAAAAATGCAAAAACCAAAAAGCTGCCCAGCGTCTTTGCAAAAGTCAGAAAACCTGTTAATAAAGAAGTTTAACATATTTTATCAAACACATTTATGAAGGCAAAAAATTACCTAACACTTTAATTAAAGCGAAAACCACACAACACCTTTTCTAAGACAAAAAAAAACTACCCGCAGTGAAATCACTTAGTACTAAGTGCTACCTGACACCTTTGTAATAACAGAAAGAACCTTCAAACATATTCATAAAGAAGAAACTGTTAATTAAAGTTCAATTAAATACTATCTCATCAATATTATGAACACAAAAACTACCTGGTACTTGACTAAAGCAAAATGAGCTACTAGACACCTTGTAAAGGAAATAAAGAGCCATGTAATACCTTCGTAAAGCGAAAAGACACCTGGTATTTGTAAAGGCAAGAAATATTGAAGAAATTCAGTGCCTACTATTCATTACACTTGCAAATCAATAAAAAAAAAGGCTGACGTCTTGATCAAAACGAGATGAATGAACAGACACTTTGTAAGGAAAGAAAGAGCCATGTAATGCCTTCGAAGAGCAATAAGACACCTGGAATTGTTGTAAAAATAAGAAGCACTGTTAAAGAAATTCAGCGACTACCATTTTACTGACACTACAATTCAAAAAAAAAAAATGCCAGCACCTTGAATAAAGAAAAGCTACCCACCTTCATAAAAGAAATACTTTGTAAATAAAGAGAGCCACCTGACACTTTGTAAATAGTAAGAGCCACCCAACACCTTTGTAAAAGCAAAAACCACCCAACACTTTCGTAAGCGAAAAAAGGTCACTTCGATATTTATAGATAATCAAAATAACATAATATCAAAAGTTTATATATTCAAAATTAAATCATGTGATATGATGCGATATATAACATGGTGTTATATATATAATATTTCTTCAATAAATTATAGTTATATATAAACATTATATGTGAACTAATAAATTTTTTTAAAAAAATTATAAAACTTTATATAATTTAATTAAATTTTACTAATAAATTCTAATTTTTTTATTTTAAATAAATTTGTTAAAATCAAAATTTATATTCTATTTAGATTTAACTATTTTAGAAACTTTTTAATCAAATTTAGATCAAACTTTAAAACAAATTTAAATTAATTATTAAATTAATAATATTTAAGATTTGAGTCTCTAAATAAACTAATTTAAAACTAAACCTAGAAATTCTAATTATTTTATACAATTATAAACTATAAATTAAAATAACTATGATGATATAAAAATAAAAAACAAAAGAAATTTTGATAATTGTACAATATAAAAATAATACTCAAAAAACCAAAATTATTAATTATATTAATTTCTTTATCTTTACTTTTTGTCAGTTTCTTAAACTTTATTAGTTTTATTACCTTTTATAGGTTTAAACAACTTTCATCAGTTATGTTTCCTTTCAACAGTTTCATTATCTTTCATCAGTTTTGTATCTTTCATCAGTTTTATTACCTCTCATCAGTTTCATCACCTTTCGTCATTTTTGTCACCTTTCGTCAGTTTCGTCACCTTTCATCAGTTTCGTCACCTTTCGTCAGTTTCGTCACCTTTCTTCAGTTTCGTCATTTCGTCATTTCAATTTTTTTTTGATGAAACCCTTAGGTTTCGTCTAACAACATTAGGCACGACACATATATAAAATTAAAGAACATCTATTTATGTTACGTACTTATTTAATTTAAACAGGTGCTCACGTGATACGAGAAAAAATCTATAAATACAACCCGAGTACGATAAAAAAATTACAGGAGCCTTATGCAAATTGATCTATGCACGCGTGTACATAGAATAGTACATGTATAACAACATAAGGTAAAATTTTTCGACGAAAATCTTTTCTGTTTTAGTCAAAAAGGAAATGTGGCGGATCACAGGTTTTTATGGAAAAGATCTACAGTATTCCAAACAAAAAAAAATTGAAGTGGGTTAACTAATGTTGTGTCACGTAATCAATAAGTACAAAGGACATGTGCATGTATGTACTTAAGTACGTATATACATGTGTACGTACAGTACGTAAGTGCTTTCAAAAAATCATGGGAAAACCACTAACTGAATGGCTTGAAAGAGCAGTTTCTGATGGGCATATTAATTATATCGAGTTTAATAAATTTACAGATCCAATAGAGATTGGTACTGGAGGTTTTGGAAAGGTATTTAAATACGAATGGAAAGACAGTTATTTAACAGTTGCCCTTAAATGTCTTAGGGTCGATATAAGCATAGATGAAAAAACCATTAAAGATTTTATCAATGAGGTATTATTGTTATATTAAAAATCAAATTACACCCAATTACCGAATAATAAAATTATATTACTATATATATTAGCTTAAGTTGTTACGAAGAGTTTGTTGTCATCCAAACATCATTGCATGCTTTGGTATCACAAAAGGTATGAAAATATTAATAGTTTTTTTGAGTGTATTATATTAACAAATAAAATATTTATCTAATGCAAATAATTAGATTTCAACGGACATTACAATATGGTTTTACAATATGCTAATGAAGGAACTTTACGAGAATATTTAAAAGAAAATTTTATTAATTTGCAATGGTCTGATAAGCTACGTATTGCTAAGGAAATATCACTCGGACTTATATTCTTGCATGAAAATAATATTATTCATAGAGACCTTGTAAGTGTTATAGATTTTACTGGATTTTTATATTTATTAATTCACTAATATTCTTGTAATCTAGCATTCAAAGAATATTTTGATTCACCGAAATCAGCCAAAGATTGCAGATTTTGGACTATCAAGACAAATAAATGAAATATCTAAAACTTCAAATTCAATATTACATGGAATGCCAGAATATATTGAACCTAATTGCTTTATTAATCCCAATTATAAGTGTAATATGAAATCTGATATCTATAGTCTTGGAGTAATCCTCTGGGAAATTTCAAGCGGAAGACCACCATTTCAAACCATTGAGTCGAAAATGGCCCTCTGCTTTCACATATCTCAAGGAAATAGAGAAGAACCTATAGAAGGTACATTACCTGAATATATTGATCTTTATAAACGATGTTGGGACTGGGATCCTGCAAATCGTCCAGAAACAAAAGAAATTCTCAGTACTTTAAGACAACTTATTCCTAATGAAACTCTAAGTCAACACCATTCCGTTGGAGCATCGACTAAAAATAACGAAACTTCCCCGATTCATCAATATAATATAAGCATGCTTGAAAACTCTCTCAATATTACGATGCAAGCTTCACATTATTTATCTGATACAATAAACGTTTCAACTCAAGATGGTAGTATTCTTGAAAGTATGAGAAAAGAAGCGCATGAATGTTTTAAACAAGGCAAATTTCTCAAAGCATTAGAACTTTATGAAGAAATTATCAAGAACAGCCATCACAGTGCTGAAGATCGAAAAAGTGCTTCATCTTGGGATCTTGCTTATGGTCATTATGGAGTGGAACAAATGGACGAATTAATAAAAGCACTTCATAAGAATACTACTCTGACTTCTTTGAATCTTATGGGAAATAAACTTGGACCAAAAGAAAGAAAAGGATTAGCAAATGCACTCTGCAATAATACTACGGTGGTTTTTTTGTGTCTTGTAAATAATAGACTTGGATCCGAAGGAGGACAAGAATTAGCAAATGCACTTTGCAAGAATACTACGCTGATTTTTTTATACCTTGAAGGTAATAATTTTGGATCCGAAGGAGGAATAGAATTAGCAAACGCACTTTGCAAGAACACTACATTGACTTTTTTGGATCTTAGTCGTAATAATCTTGGATATGAAGGAGGAAAAGCATTAGCAAATGCACTTTGCAAGAACTTCACACTAGTGTCCTTAAATCTTGGAAATAATAAACTTGGGTCAGAAGGAGGAAAAGCATTAGCATATGCACTTTGTAAGAACACCGCTTTGACTTCTTTGAATCTTAGTTATAACGATCTTGGATACGAAGGAGGCAAAGCATTAGCAGATGCACTTTGTATGAACACCACATTGATTTCTTTAGATCTCAGTTCTAATTGGATTGGATCAGGAGGAAAAGAATTAGCAGATGCACTTTGCAAGAACAGTACGCTGAACATTTTGAATCTTCATAATAATAAGCTTGCATCAGAAGGTGGAAAAGCATTAGCAAATGCGCTTTGCAAAAATACCATGTTGAAATGTTTGAATCTTAGAGATAACGATCTTGGATCTGAAGGTGGAAAAGCATTAGCTGAAGCACTTTGTAAGAACACTAGCCTGACTTCTTTGGATCTTTGTTGGAATAATATTGGATCAAAAGGAGGTAAAGCATTAGCAGGTGCGCTTTGCAAGAACACCGTTCTAAAATGTTTAAATCTTAAAAATAATAAACTTGGATCAGATGGAGGAAAAGCATTAGCATATGCACTTTGTAAGAACAATACTCTGAAAGAATTGGGTATTTGTAATAATATTATTAATTTTACTATACAATCTAATAATCCAAATATCAGGATAGAGCAGTAAATCGTCAATAAATTTTATATAATACAAAGCGATCGTAAATTATATAATACAAAGCGATCGTAAATTATGTAATGCAATGTAAGTTATAATAAAATTGTTTTTAATAAAGTTAATAGAATTTAGAACGCCAAATAGTTTTATCGATTAATCAATTGATTTATCAATATTGAAATTAGAACTAGAATGTTGCTTATATTAAATATAGCTAACAAATAATAAACCTAACTACAAATAAAGTAAAATAATTTGTGAATCAGATATAAGTGTTTTTAATTATATTAAAATTTATGCCTATTCTCAGTTTATTAAAAAATTTTATACAAAAATAATATGGTATTCAACTTTAATACCTGCTATATTGTAAAGTATAATGTCATCCACTTAGCCCTGAACAATATTTTATCCAGAAATCATATAATTTGTCATTTATTAATGGAGGAGTGAAAAGGCCAGTTCTAAAAATTTGGCTTAAAATAATACATATATGGTATATATTAAATAACGAACTAATAATTTGTTCTTTGACAAATATTTTTTAATATCTGAAATAAGTGGAATGATGGATCACTATTAATTATGAAATTTCAATATTTAAGTGAAATACCTCCATAACCATGAATATTATTCCAACTAAACGATTAATATGCTTCAAAATTGACTTCAATTTTAAAATCGATTCTAAATATATAATTGTATATAGACAAAAATGATAATTTTTTTTTATAATTCAATAAACAATTGCAACGATTATTATAGAATCGATTCATATCCCTAATCCCAAATAAAAAAAGTGAAAAATGATATTAAAAAAGAAACACTATATGCCTTGTAGATTTTCTATACGGATCCAGGCAAAAGTAATTTTTAAACCAATTGGCAAACAAATAACTTTTATGCAGCATCTCACTATGATCGCATTACGAAAATTTTTATATCATTATACCGCTTTTTTCTTTAGTTATTCATTCTCGCGTCTTATTTAGTTTGTTATCTCCATCTAGGGATGGCAAATGTTTTAAAACGCGTTCTTAAAAATCATGATTCGATTTTGATTGTTTAAAAATGGTTGTATATAATATTAAACATATTTCTCTTTAAACATTATTTTGAAAACTCGAATAATTTCTAAGAAACTAATCAAAGTAAATTTTATTAAATCTGCTTCGATAAATATAAAAAATATTATGACCAATTACTTTTTAAGCGGACCCACCCATTGGAATCGTTAATTGACTTAGCCCATCGCCTGCAAATAATGCGAACAAACCAATAATATTAAATATTAATATTATAAGGATATATTAAGAATAGAAATTATTTACCCGAATAAAACGATGAAGTATGTTGAATAAATTTGCTTTTATAATCCGTTTCTGGATATGCTTGTATATGATCACCTTTAATTTTTTTAGATTCAGATAGCTCAAGTAGAATATTTTCATCATTTTGCCATTTTACAAAAATTTCGCAGAGTTTTTCTGCTGATGGTCGGTTGTTTGGTTCTTTTTCCCAGCATTCTTTCATTAAATTCATATAACATTGTGGTGTGTTTTCTAAAATCGTGGGTCGTAAATTATAATAACATATTTTAATTTGAAGCTGTGATCCGATTTTTTGATCATAAGAGATTGGTTTTCCATACAAAATTTCCCACATAATTATACCAAATGAATAAATATCTGATGCTGTTGTATATTGTCCTCCTATTAAAACTTCTGGAGCCATATACGGTAAAACTCCATAAACACCACTGGATTCAGCTTCTAGCGTCACATTAGAAGATATAGAAAGTCCTAAATCAGCAATATATGCGCTATGCAATGTGTCTTGCAAGATATTTCCACTATGTAAATCTCGATGAATAATTTTTTGTGAGTGGATTACTTGAAGATCTGACACAATGCAATGTAGCAAATTTAACTTATCTTCCCAATTCATTTCTAACATATGATAAATGTTTTTACGCAAAGAGCCCAACTTGGCATATTTTAACACAAGGATATAATTATTATTATTATCTTTTGATATTCCATAACATTGCAAAAATGATGGACTTTCACAATTAATAGCACTATATGCCTTTACCTATTAAAAGAAAAAAGTTAATAAAGAGTATGTTAAATATTAAAACAATTATTCTACAAAATTAAATTACTTCTTCGTGAAAAGATTTTAATTTATGAAGCGATTTAAGTGCTACTGTTGTCGTAAGATTATAATTTTGATCAAACCAAGTAGCTTCATATACTGTTGCAAATCCTCCTTGTCCTATCTTTTCAATATCTTCAAATTCATCATAAGAAATCCATGATAAATTATTCTTATTTTCATCAAAAATTTTCTTTAAATTATCATCCGTATCATCTTTGTATCGCCTTTCTTTTGTAGCTAAAAATTTTGGTTAAATTTAAGAACTTGAAAAGTAACATCATGTAATAAAATAAATTACCTGACGATTTAGTTTTTCCTCTAATAATTTATTTAGCACATTGTAAAAAATATAATTGTATAAAAGAACAAAGATATAATCATGATATTACTTTTGATACCACAAATTTGCTTTCCTTAAGTTCCTTGTAGTTCCAATTCCATTTCGATAGCAATGTCCAAGATAGATCATTCCAGTTTTACGTTCCATATCAGCTGATCGCTGAAAATAATTAAACGCTCTATGTTTGTCAATATCAACACCAATCCCGTTTAAATAACAGATCCCAAGCTGAATCATTGCACTAGTATGATTCATACTGGCGGATTTTTGATAGAGAATAATTGCTTTGTATACATCCTTTGTGACTCCAATTCCATTTTGATAACAATAACCAACACAATATATTCCTGAAGAGCTACCCATATCAGCAGATTTTTGATAATAAGTGAATGCCTTATGTTCATCCTTTTCAACTCCAATTCCTTCTCTGTAACAATATCCAAGTCTGTATATTCCGAAAGAATTACCCATATCAGCAGATTTTTGATAATAAGTGAATGCCTTATGTTCATCTTTTTCAACTCCAATTCCTTTTTGATAACAGTATCCAAGACTGTTTATTCCGTTAAAATTACCCATATCAGCAGATTTTTGATAATAAGTGAATGCCTTATGTTCATCCTTTTCAACTCCAATACCTTCTTCATAACAATATCCAAGACTGTCTATTCCGTTAGAATTACCCATATCAGCAGATTTTTGATAATAATTAAATGCCTTATGTTTATCCTTTTCAACTCCAATTCCGTCTCTGTAACAATCTCCAAGATTGTTAATTCCGTAAGAATCATCCATATCTGCTGATTTTTGATGGTATATAAATACTTTATGATCGTCTTTTTCAACTCCAATTCCGTCTTGATAACAAAATCCAAGATTACTTATTCCAATAGAATTTCCCATCTCTGCTGAATTTTGATAATGAAGAAATACTTGACGGTTATCATTTCTTACCCATTTTCCATAGCGATAACAATATGCAAGAATATTTTGAATTATAGGATTGGTTTGAACAATAGGGTTTGTTTTATTATTTAAACATAAGTTGATTATTTCTTCTGGGTTTTGCTGCTTATTTATAAAATATTGTTCTATTGAATAAAGGATTGAGCTTATAGGATTTCCTTTCATGACTTCTTTATTATACACGTTACATAATTCATCAATAACTTTATTTAAAAAAACTTGTGAATTATGCATTGATATATCTATTTGTTCTGAAGTATTATCATTATTAATAGCGCTTTTTATCAATTCTGTAGATGGATTATTGTAAATATCTGACAAACTTTTTTCATTTGACATGATATGTTATTAAAATTATAATGTTATTAAGAGTATTGGCATGTTTATATAAAAAAGTTGTGTAATGCCGTGTAACTGTCGTGAGGATATAAATAAAACCTGTGCTACGAATCAACAATGATAGTTCTAAATTAACCAAACTTCATTCATATAAATTCAAATAATTAAAATGACGAAAAGCATCGCATTACACATCAACCGTTGAGCTTTGCCGTTAGGTTATTTTAGGCCGGAGATGATTTTTTATTGAAGCAATTAATTGGTGATTAGTACATGATCATGAGGCGAATGATTAATAACTAATAAAAAGAAAATATGTAATTACCGGGCATCTTACTTAGTTCTGCAGAATTTGTGCGAAATCCAATTGCGATAATTCTTTCAAAAAAGATTAAAAGAAATAATCTTATTTGCAATATGAAAAAGTCGTAAAAGACTTGCATCTTATCCTTTCTCCATAATATCTACAATATCAATTTCAAAGTAAAATAATTTGCATTCTGACGGAATTGGATTAATTGCATGAATTACAATGTCTTCTATATTTTCGCTACGCCCTTTATCAAAAAAAGATCCTTAATAAGTTATGTAGTTTTAATATTCTTTATCCAATATTTTTATATAGAAACTCTTAGTAACTGATTATAATTTTTTGAGAATGTTTTTATACATGTGGGGGTATCAAAATATAAAGTCATACAGTATTCTCACCTACGTGATTTATACTATGCCCATTTGCATCCACGTTTAAAAGAGTGGATTTATCATTAACATCCCATGCGGTAGGCAAGTCCATACAGTATATTTATTCACTTGTAAATCTATCTACATACGAAAATATTCTTTACTATTACGATACATGAATTAATAATGTCTACGAAAATGCTTTACTGTAGTCTACTAAAATATTAATTCAATTCTTTTCTATGAAAAATTTACAATATTCTATTTAATGTCTTAAAACGATCAACAATGTCATTATAATTCTCATGATTTTTTTTTATTAAAATGACAATAAGATTTATTATTCTCTGTATTATAATTAGCGATGTAAAATTATTGTAATTTTATACTATTTTTGCGGTAAGTTTCGGTAAATTAGTTTTAATGTAATTTGTAATTTTGAAACATGATATTAATTCTGAGATCACAGTTCAGATTATATATTAAATTAAAGATGAAATAACGATAATGCAGAACAAACTTTTATAAAGCTGGTACTTTGTATATAACGTAATGAAAATTACTTGAAATCTGATTTATGAGAAACTTACGCAAAATTACATGTATTTTAAGATTGCAACTTTTGTAACGCAACTAGAGATAGCCACGTACAGTACTATACGTACTGTGCGTACCGCGAAAATTTTTGCCAATCCTTTCTAACATCCAATCAAATCGCTAGATACGCATTGTTCGTAAGCGAAAAAAATTCGGATATCATATAAATGGCACATAACTAAATGCAACCTTAATTATAATGCTAGCTATTGCGTTGATGGCACTGAAAGCCTCAACAATTATTTATTTAACTAACTTTTTTGTTAATGGTATATACTGTAAAGAATATCGATATCAATTCTGTAACTAAAATTATATACGTATTATATCTGTTATGATAAATGCCATAAGATAAAGAAAACTGATGTAAAAATAAGACTAATTGGCCTGTTAGTACGCAGAAATCCCCCAATACACTTTCGTATTTCGATAGTTATGGAAAGGATTTACAAAGTTACATATTTTATTTTACCAATTTTTTATTATGCGAAATTATTCCTCTTCATTAGGGTAGCTTCGTCCCCACAAATAACACGCCAATGATCATGTGAGTTATGCAATACGCATACTGTATTGATATGTCTTTGTAGATATTGATCTCGGATATAGTATAATGAAGCGCCACAAATAGTCTTATTTCAGCTGACTTTGTTACGTAGTATTTTTGTTGCTGCAAGTTTTTAAATTAGAACTACATTGTATGGTGCACTAACTTAGAAATAAAGTAAAAGAATATATATATATAAGCGAGGGTTGAGTATAATAGCGACGTCTGCTTGACGTTACCAATTTAGGTACACTAATAAATAAGTAGCTGCGCGACATTGTCATGCAAAACTAGGAATGGAAGGTTGATTTTACAGTAGATAGAGCTGCAGATGAAACTGTTTTCATCATAGGTTCTTTGTTTGCTCCTATATTTAATTTTATCAATTTTATTAATTTTATTAGCATTTTTAACTTTTACCAGTTTCACTTGCAACTATAATTTTGATTATATGTGCAGTAAGTTGAATACTAATTATGTTTCTAGGCGGCAACTTAGATAGATTAGTATTAGTATAGTTTTGATGTAGCATTCTTGTATGTACATTACGTAGTCTCTTCCTAATAAATTATTCACTTTTGTTGTTATTTTACCAGTGAATATAAAAAACACTTGTTAATGAGTAATTTAAAATAAATTATTTATACCATATTAATTACTTTATATTTTAATTAGCAAATTATTTATTTGATTTGGCAGTATAAAGATTATTTTTATTAGAAGTATTTAAAATAATATATTTGCTATTTATTAACTTATATGTATTAATTTAATGGTAAATTATATGAAATTTAAATTATTAATAAAATATACACAAAATCACATAATTCATATAAGACTGTGGTCGTCTATTTAGGTAAATATGATTAGAGTCATGTAATAGTTTTTTTAATTCTTTAATGAAAAAGATCAATATAGTTATCAGAACATGTCGCGAAGCCATCTGCATGCATTAAAAGAATAGGGTAGCAATAAGAAAATTTATTATTAAATGTAAAATCAATTTAATCTAATTATTGTAAAACGGTACATAGGTACATAAAAAAGACATTCTGATTTACGATTAAATGTAAAGTGTTGTACCGAATAATTTTTTCCCGTGTCTCTTCTTCTGTATTCGTTTAATTAAGTTGTCATGGTAATCATACCTTTTTAGTATTAGGCATTCTTACGTATTTATAATGGCTTAATTCCCTGGGAACATAAACTTCTTAATAGTCACGTAAACGTAGCTACTGGAGCGTTATATGCTCTCGCATAAACTTGATAGAATGAGTTACCTGTGGGAAAGCATGTGTAATTAAAAGTTGTAACATAAATGTTATAATCCTAATGTAGACTTCATAAAAAATGTATTCAAAAGGTTTTTCTTGCCTGCATTCAGGAGGAAAGGATGCTTTCTGAAATCGGCTTTAAATAAAGAATACATAAACCTAAATTCTTTATACAATAAATGCTTACTAATCTCATAAACTTCAAGTTCCCTAATTTATCATCAGGTTTCGCGTCTTTCATAAATCAACCATTAGAGGTAAACTCTGCATAATTAATGAAAGAACTCCCTTTCAATGATGACAGTATAAAAAACAGAGAATCAAGCTTCAATAACAGTAAGGAGGTTCATAAATCAACAAATGGTTTAATTCTTAAATGTATGCTTTAAAAATTGATACCTTTGAATTATTGAACTAGGACAGCTAAAATGAACTAATTTAGTTAGGAAAATTTATAAAATATGAAAATGTAATAAAATCCTGGTTTAAATTAATTCAAAGAATAGTTGAAACCTGATATATGAAAATTTTATATTTAATATATTTAACAGAGTAAACTGGTATAACCACAAACCCAATTTATTCAAATCAAGTGAAGCAGAAAATTTATGATATAAATGATTAACAATGATAATACAGTCCGAGCAGCAAACAAAAACAAGAATAATTTCATGGGGTTAAAAGCCACGATAACAAATAGAGAAATTTAACATTGCGTATAATAATCTAGAATAATCCTTTGATAACAAACATCTAATTTGCTTTTTTTTTTTTATCATGTGTCAATAGACAAAAAGCCTCATAAAGTATAAATATAGCGATAGAGATCTCAAGATGAAGTCACGAGATTAGATCAACCAATCGGATAAAAAAGATACTACTCTTCGTATTCCATACTCCATTCCTGGTACATGTATCACGTTTCAATTTTAGCTTAGGAACTAGGTATAATAAAATAAGGCGCAATAGATCATTAAAAATTTTAGCGTAAAAATTTGTATGCTATACGGTTGAAGGGATAGTTTGGTCTCTTAAATAACAATTAAGAAGATTTCCTTTAGGGTGTTATTTTGAATCAATTTTTTAATAAATATAAATGATAATTTTTTTAAAAAAAAATTGTTAAAATTAATTCTTAGCTCTCCGGAAATTGAGTCTTGAATAACGACTCGATCATTATTTTGCGAAACTACGGTGATACAAAGTAATGACTGATAATAATTATAATAAACACAAAATAAATTTATTTCCGTAAGGCGGAAGATCATGTGACTGCGTGGGACTTTTCTACGCTTACGTAAATACGTATCGGTATGTATGTACGTAATCCGTGATTATTCATATCTGCATTATGTAATTGAAATTGTTACATATTAAATACTTTATAAATGGTCCAATCTAAATACCTATATACTGTACATAAAAGTTAAATTTTCGTTTATTAAAATTCCTATGTCAGTCAATAACGATAATAAGAAAGATGAAATAAGTGTGATAGACTTAGCCAATAATTATGACTGGTCGTCAACTTGTCTTGGACCCATGGATTCATGGGAACCTTCATTTAGGACTGTTGTGGTGATTTTTATTAATTGTTATCTCATTCAATCTATTTAGTTCAATGATCTATTGTTAGGCTGGTGTTGATGCGGGAAATTTGGATCTTGTTTTCAAATGAATTTTATAATTTGGTGATCAATCTTTTTTGTCTTGATAGGTTAAGAATTTATCCTTTTCTATGAACTACTCGATATCAACATCAGTCGTAACATCTATTTAGTTCAAAAAATTAAGTGAAAGTTTATCTACAACAAATTATTAGGATCATTGTTTACATTCTCTTTTCCAATTCTGTATCTTCTGTGGTCCTGATCTTGTTTATATATATAGTCAAAGTA